TCAAATGCATATTGAGCCATAGCAATCAAAAATACAGTTCTTAGCCAGGACTGGATTGATCCCTGGGTGATCCCCATCATCCGCTTGTTAGTGAGTCCTGATTGCTCATGGACTGGCTTCCTGATGTAATTTAAAGTTCTCAAGTGAACAGATACTTGTAGATTGATTCCTAAATTAGTGTTTATATTAGAAATCAAAAGTTGATCACCTCATATTTCTCAGTTACTAATGCAGAATTGGAAGAAAACAGAAATCACAAAGGGAAAGAAAGAATACTCAAAAAAGGGCAATAAGAGAGCTTGAAGATAATGAGGAAACACAGAAGTCCAACAGACAGGTAGACGTGTAAAAGGGAGAAGCAGCACCAGGCAGGGACTGTGTCAGGGACCGCCGCACAAGCCAGAGAAGCAGGCTTCTCGTCAGAGGGAAAAGGTGTGGATGTGTTTGAATACAAATGCAACAGGCCTCTGAGTCTGCCTATTTTTAAAGGCTTAAACTGTACTATGGGAAATAAGTCATAATTTCTTCCAAGTCTAATCGTGCCTTTTGTATTTTTAAAAATCATACAACGTTGAGAATTAGAAACCTGAATGTTTCAGCCACCTTACCATCTGTTTAACCGTTACATACAAACTTTCCGCCCAGTAGTATCCCGCCTGGGCTTTCCTTTCTGCATGGAGCACATCCTCTATTCAGGGCTCATGCCGGGTTGGGAGACGGTGCTGAGTAGTCTACAGCTGCCCCTGTGCAAAGCTGGGAATAGAAACCTGCTCACAAAATCCCGAGATGCAGCGCTGCATAGCAGAGCCAGCCTGACACATAACCTCAAGCTTACAGAGCATGGCTTTGGGTTAAAAGCTGCCTGGTTGTTAACTTCTTTTAATTTTCCAGCCCTCTTACACACAAGCCTTTGCTTCAAGGGTTTCAATTCAGTTACCGAGTCACTCACTTCATCAATAGAAGCCTAGGTGCAACTACAGCAAGGTGTGTCACCCACGTTCAGGCTGACCATCGGGGACCGGTGGAGCTCTTACCTCACCTGATTAGGTCATGAACGTCGGTACACTTGAGAATGTAAGACAACTAATTCTGTGTGTGTGTGTTTGTTTTTCTTTTCCTCTTCTCACTGAATAGCCTTCTTCCTTGAATAATCAGTTGGTATCTGTGGACTGCAAGAAGGGAACCCGTGTCCAGGTGGACGGTTCCCAGAGAATGCTAAGAATTGCTGAACCCGATGCAAGATTCAGTGGCTTCTACAGCATGCAGAAACAGAACCATCTACAGGCAGACAATTTCTACCAAACTGTGTGAAGAAAGTCACCGGGGCCGAAGTTTTGAAAGACAGAAATCAGCTAAATCTGTTGTTAAGAGTAAACTAGAATTTGTGCACTTGCTTAGTGGGTTGTATTGGATTGTGACTTGGTGTACAGCGCTGAGAACTTACTGGGATGGGCTCTGTCTACAGCAATGTGCAGAACAAGCATTCCCGCTTTTCCTCAAGATAACTGACCAAGTGTTTTCTTAGAACCAAAGTTTTTAAAGTTGCTAAGGTATATCTGCTTGTAATATAGCTGTAGAGATTCTTGAGGGTGGGGGCAGTGAGTTTGGTTGGGGAAACGGGGGAGGGGGTTGGGAAGAAAAATTGGTCAGCTTGGCTCGAGGAGAAATCCAGTAAAACAGAAGCAGTTCAGTGGCCCAGAGGATATTTTTTTCCTGTTGCTCCGAAGACTGCACTGGTTGCTGCAAAGCTCAGGCCTGAATGAGCAGGAAACAAAAAAGGCCTTGCGACCCAGCTGCCGTAACCACCTTAGAACTACCAGATGAGTGCATCAGAACTTTTGATAGCCATCCCAGGTCTAAAGCCACAAGTTTCTTTTGTATACAGTCACAGCTGCAGTAGGCAGTGAGCAAGCCAGGGAGATGTGAGATAGCCACATTTCTCTAAAGCGGGTTATTAAGGATCTAGACAGTTATACTTTTTTGCTGCTTTTGTTTTCTTCCAAGCCAGTCAGCCAGTTCCTAGAAGAGACAGCAGATGAACAAGACCTAAGTCACTTCTTGATGTGAGCACTGGAGCTTTTCTTGTAACAGCGTGGCAGGAAGGAGGGAGAGAGGGTGAAGGACACCAGGCGTTTCCAGGGGCTAAACCGCATCGTTGGTTGTTGCTTTGTTCTGTTCTGTTGTTGGTTGTTCATAGTTCTTGTCGAAGCTCTAGCTTAAGAAGAAACTTTTTTTTTTAAAAAGACTGTTTGGGGATTTTGTTTCCTTATTATAGAATGATTCTACAAAATAGAAACTACTTCATTTTAATTGTATATTATTCAAGCACCTTTGTTGAAGCTCAAAAAAAAATTATGCCTCTTTAAACTTTAGCAATTATAGGGATATTTATGTATCTTATGCTTCAAAAAACAAAAGTATTTGTGTGCATGTGTATATAATATATATACATATATATTTATACACATACAATTTATGTTTTCCTGTTGAATGTATTTTTATGAGATTTTAACCAGAACAAAGGCAGATAAACAGGCATTCCTTCCTTATCAATGCTTTTGATCACTTAGATTTTTTTTAATAACACAAAAATCTCATTCTACCTGCAGTTTAATTGGGAAGCTGTTTGTGCGAGAGTGTGTGTGTGTATGTATGTGTGTGTGTGTGCACGCACCTTGAGCAGCCAGCATCACACCTGCTGTGGAGAAGACACTTCTTTATCACAATCTTCTTCATTTGGATTTGCTTTCAGTTGGTTTTCAATTTGCTCACTGGCCAGAGATATTGATGGCAGTTTTTATATGCATCACTAATCAGCTCCTGGATTTTTTTTTTTTTCAAACAACTGTTTGAAACAACTACTGGAATATTGTCCACAATAAGCTGGAAGTTTGTTATAGTTTGCCTCAAATATGACTGTATATTATAGTGTTAACTTTTCAAACAGCTCTTAGCACTTTTATACTAATGACCCATTTGTGCATTGATTCTTCTTTTAAAAATGCTTGTTGTGAAAGACACAGACACCCAGTATGCTTAATGTGAAAAGAAAATGTGTTGTTTTGTAAAGGAACTTTCAAGTATTGTTGTAAATACTTGGACAGAGGTTGCTGAACTTTAAAAAAAATTAATTTATTATTATAATGACCTAATTTATTAATCTGAAGATTAACCATTTTTTTGTCTTAGAATATCAAAAAGAAAAAAGAAAAAGGTGTTGTAGCTGTTTGCATCAGAGAAACAAAAAGATTTATTATCAAGGGGCAATATTTTTTATCTATTTCCAAAAGGAATTTGTTAATGATATGTTACCAAAATAGATTTACATCCGTCTGATTAGTATAAAATTTTGTCGACAATTAATCCATTCCTGGCACAAAAAGCCTTTATCGAAAAAAATTGTAAATGCTTGCTTTTTGTTTTTTCAATCATGGCCATATGAAAATACTAACAAGATATAGGACAAGGTGTAAATTTTTCTATTTTAAAGATATGATTTATCCTGAGTGCTGTATGTATTACTCTTTTACTTTGGTTCCTGTTGTGCTGTTGTAAAACAAAAACAAATATAATTTCCTGAAGAATAAAATAGATATATGGCACTTGGAGTGCACCGTAGTTCTACAGTTTGTTTTGTTTTCTTCAAAAAGGAAAGCTCTCACAGGAAGATTTGCAGCTTGGCTGTTGGCAACAAATAAACACTTCGAGTCAAATCACATGGAGCTTTCTAAGATTCCTTATCTACAAAGACAGACACACAGCATATCTTCAGTGTCACAAGAAGCATGTTCTTCTCAGCAGGTGCCCCTCCCAAAGAGTTCCTTGTCAACACAGTGCCGGAGTACATGGCACAGGGTGCTGCGCCCTAGGGAGCCAGAACCCTGCTTACCACAGGTCACGAGTCAGCAGTGCGCTCACCCCGAGTCAGGGCAAGTGTGCTTTACCTTCACACTTCAGGCATCTGAGACCTTTACAATTTGGAATACTTTTGCCTACACATAATGAGGTATCTTGGGAATGAGACCCAAATCTAAACATACTCCACTTACATTTCATACACGCTCTACACACAGCCTAATGGTCACTCATATAGTATGGTGGTACTGTGTTTTCACTGTGATCTGTCACCTAAAGTGAGGTGAGGAACTTCCCATTTGTAGCATTATGTTGGTGCTTGAACACCTTGAGATACTGAAGCACCTTGGATTTGACTTCCAGGTTACAGATAACCTGTCTCAAAACTAATGCATCATGTGGAGGAAAAGAAATGTGACGGGAACACCTACAGCCACTTACTGCTGAAGAAGCATTTAAAACAAAATCAGTGGACCAGTCATTTACAAGGGGGCCGAGCAGACAGGGAGAAGTAGGCACGCTCCAGTCAGCTTCAGAATGAGGCAAGCAGACCACTGCGGAATAGTCCAGAAACACTTCCCTAAGGACTTTTTGCTATACTCTTTATCTTTTAAATCTACATTTCTCATACAAGGCATACTGTTTTTGACAAATTCAGATCAAATTTATGTAAGTTCAGAGTAACAAGTAGACATCTTCATGAATTCAAGGGGAAGTGGCAACTGAGTTCCACATATTCCCTTGTCAAATAACACTAATACAAACAAGGAAACAATTTCAAATTGCACAAACGCTTAGGTAAGTAAAATGCCACACTAGTATCAAACTCTGAGCAGCCTCCTGCTTCTTAGTCCAGCTATCTCTGTCAGCGGAGCAAGGACACAAGCTTAGGTGGATGTTTGAGTCCCTGATGCAGGTCCCATGTAGGCTCCCTGACACACAAGTCGGTGAGGACAGTGCCACAGCTGCTGGAACTCAACACAGAAAATGCTGGACATTTGTTCCACAGCAGCTCAGCAAGAGCTAGAATTCAGCGTCGTGGGGCTAAGGCAGGCTTCCCCGGCTCACATACTTCAGTGACAGACACTCGTATAAAGTGCTAGAGTACAGTACCCCAAAGGGGGAAAGAAACAAACTCAAGGCTCTTAAGAATGTATGTTTTTACATTTATTAAACACCATCAACTTGATTGAAACTGGCAACATGGTTCATGATGAGTGATATGTCGGTGAGTAGCTGTGTCGAATTAGGACTACAGGGAAGATGGGAAATGGGGACACACGGGGACAAGCGACAGAACCGTTAGGGCTCCGTGTGGGCAGTGCTGCAGCAGTTTCTTAAGCACCAGGAAGGATACAGGCTCCTTTAAAGTACACTTCGTCACAGACACACAAAACTGACACAGCTACAGGGAACACGAGAGAGACATGGCAACGCCATGGTGAAAATGGGAACAGCGGCGAAACCAGCGGCGGGCTCCCAGGCCGGTCACCCGCCGAGGTGGGGTCCACGAGCCGTAACGCTTCCGGTGTGGCGTCCTCCAAACGGCACAAATTTCAGTTTTGGTCTCCGGACAATACTGGTGGGTAATACGTACAGTTGTCTTATAAAAATCTGTTCTTGCCAACACTGAAGAATAGCTGCGGTATAAATCTCAAAGCTTCACGCTAGTTCTTCAGTGCAATTTAGATGTAGAAAGCCGTACAAACTCAAAGGAGCATACTAGAAAACTGTAACTGCACATGCACAATTTATCTCTCTACTAAGAGAAGAGTTTCATCATTGTTAGCAGGTTTACCGAAAACCATCTCTAGAATTTGAATGCCATAGTTCTCCGGGTTCTATAAACAGAGCATTAGTGAAGTCATGATCTATTAATACTGTATCACAAACCCAAGTTCAAGTGTGCTGGGTTTCCAACAGCAGGAAGGACACGGTGGCCAGCGTTCTGAATAATGCTATAGGACATCACATTTGTAGTCCGTGGAAGAGAAAGCTGCTCCTCGAGTAATGCTGCTCTAGGTGGGACACAGAACTAAAAGAAAAAAAAAACTTTTAGGAAAAAATGTAACTTGTACACATCTACATCGAATGTGTACTTTATATACATTTAGTATGTATATAAAAAACAATGAGAGAATGAGGGTCTTAAGTAACGAGGACTAAAGGTTAATGCAAGGATCTGTAATAGTCAAGTTTTTAAATGTCCGAAGAAGCTACAACTCAACAATGAGAAATACCCTCACGACACATCAGAACTTCGCAGAAATGAGCCACCAAAGGCCGTGTCTCAGCGGGCACCACTTAGAGACCAGCAGAAGCCCGTAACCTTAGCCCTGTGCCACAGGGTCCGTAACAGCAAATGGGCTGCCTTGTGAGGTCAAACAAGGTACAAGACTGTGCGCTGCTTTTCTTCCTAACTCCGACTGGCACAGCAGCAGCCGTACTCACATCTCCTGAGCTTTAGCACTGTCGCCGGGAGCAGGGGTGGCACAGGCTGCAGTGGGGCCTTTGGCAGTGTGAGGAGGAGACGCTGACTCAGCCCACACAGCACCCACCTGACTCTCCTCCGGCCAAATGAGGCCGCTTCACCTGTCACTCTGACCTTTGCATTAAAACTAAGGTAGCACATTTGGACAGCCAAGCCACACATCTGTACTGAGACAATGACAGAGACCAGCCGGACAAGGAAAAGGCGTGTTCTGCCTTGAGCAAAACGCCCCACTATTATCCCCAAGGAAGAGGAGCAGCTGACAGGCTGTGCATTTGAGGGTAGGTGGAAAAGCTTTTACATTACCCCGCGTAGGCTCCTGGCTGCCCAGAACGGAACGGCCTTTGCAGTCTCTGGACTGCCGAGCCCTGCCCAAGTGAGTTGGCTTCCTTTCCACCTGGTCCTCACAACACAGGCCCAAGACAAAAGCATCACACGTGCACAGTGAAAGCGCATCGGAAGCAGGGACGCTAGGGACGGAACGGAGCTTACAGACAGGAGCCAGCAGCTGAGCTTGGGCAGTTAGCCAGGTGCTGCCTCCCTGCGGCATGCGGGATGGGTCACAGTGACAGTCCTAGGTTCTCAGGGTTAAGAATTCAAAATCACCCCACCGGCTCTACCCCCACTCTAGACGCTCTCGGGGTCCTAGCACCCCCCGCCCACCGTGCAGACAAATGCTAGGAGCGCTAGAGAATTGTTCCCAAGCGCACTCTGGACCTGGCAGTGCCCCCGAGACGCCACTGTAATTAAACTCAGATAGGTTCTTTCTGTTTGTCTCATTCCTGTTCCACATCTAGAAGAACAAACCTCCGAACAATCCAGCCTTCATACCAATGCTAGCAAAACACAAAAGCAAACAAAGATGTCAGGTATAAAAACAAAAACTCAGAACTTAATAGGGAGGAAAGTCACCCATCAGAAAAACAACAATGGTGTGTGCAAACACAGTGTTAGTACGGTCTTCTCCCCGTTAACCCCACTAACGGCTGACGTGAGTATTGACAGTCGCATCCGGTCTCATACCTAATACTCATGCACTGTGCACTTCAAACCTCTTCCCTTGTTATGAAGCTGTGGGTGAAGAAAAGGCCCATCCGAGATACTGGAATTCTCCAAACAAAAATCTGAACCTCCCTTAGACTCCCAAGGAGAGTGTTACCGGAGAGGCCTGCACTCCAAGTGCAGATGTATTCTGTGATGCCTTCAAAATCTACTGCACTAAATAACTGCTGCTTTTAAAAGAAAATAAGAATTTCACAGAAAAGTATTAGTTTGGCCTCTATCTGCCTGAGTGCTCTGGCCTCCTCCTGATCACTCAGGAGTGACCCCCTTAACTTCTCGACTGCCTCGCCTTGTGTGTCCCCATCTTGCGGGATCCCGATCTTACTCCTAAGACTGATGACCCATCTTTCACTGTCCAGCGTCTGAAAGCCTCTTTCCCTACTCGCCTCCCCTCCCTGCCCACCACACCAATCTCTTCTGTGTCCCCCTTGAAACTGGTAACTGGTTGGACCATTTTCTCCCTCATCTGTCCCCACTGATGTCTGTCCTTCCTTGTCTACCGTCTTCCTTGAGAATCTGCTTTTGAAGCCTCCCAGCATCAACACGTCTACACTGACACCCACGTAACTAGCAGTGTTTTATTACTGGCCTTTTACTGCCTCCCTCAATGTTCAAAATTCAGCTGTGGAAAGTATTTTCCAGCCCAGGACTCCAGATAAATGTTAAATTTTATATAACAATAATGTTCAAAGCATATGCCATTCAACCTATTTATCCTCACCCCATGCAATAAGATGAAAATTATGTTTAGAAATTACTTTGAATCTTACCATGATGATGCGCTGAACTGACTAATCAAAACTCGCAGCCACTTTACGTGTGTGTACCACTTTAAAACTCACCTTTCAAAATATAGTCAGTTAACAAACTCGGAACTTTCTCACTGTCATCCTTCATGGCAAGAAGAACTGCAAAATAAAGGAGAAAGACAACTTCAGACTCAGACTGAAAGTAGTATTTAATTTCAAATACTGTAGTCTTAGCATCAAGTAAATGAATCATACAAATTAGAAGTTATTTTCTGGGTAAAAGAATACAAAAGTATAGATCAACCAACTGACAAACTCTCAAGTGACTTCCCTGATTTAAAATGTTATAACACGGGAAACAGAAAAAAGGCACTGGGCTATTCACAGGACCCCTCCACTCCGTCAGCAGAAACACTGGACAGTGACTTACTGCAGTGCACTGTGATGGGGGTCGGGGGACCTCAGCACCGTCCATCCTGTGCCTGCACAAGCTCTGGAAAGTTTGCTACCCCTTCTCCACCGGGGAAGAACTGGGGAGACTCACCTCATCCTGAAGGGACACCAGATCTGGCCTGTGCTGTGCTGTGCTGTGCTGTGCTGTGCTGTGCTGTGTTGTGCTGTGCTGTGTTGTGTTGTGTGTTGCTGGTGCTATAGATCAAAGCCAGGGCCTCATACATGCCAGGCAGCATTCTGCTGAGCTACATCCCAGCTGACAAATCTGCCTTCTCAGTAAAAACCAAAGCAGGAAAAAGGAGCTACTCAGTATAATGTTTTGGTTTGGGGTTTTTAATCCAGACCGTTTAGGTAAAGATAAACTCACAAACCAGTATTTGGTATGTGAGATGCTAAAGTGAGTATACACAAACAAGTACTGTACAGTGACTGCCAATTCAGGCTTCCTCCAGGACATCCTGGTGAAAACACCCCACTACTTTCCTGAGCTACATGACAAGTGGCACAGTGGAACTCTCACAGCAGCTTTCCTGGGCTTAGGTCTGGCTCTACTAGTTCCTGCCTTCTGTGACCTTACCGCTCTGCGTATCAAGTTTCTCATCTGTAAAATGGGCATAATAATTAGTTCTATCGCAAAGCCTTATTATGAAGATCAAGTTTCACAGATGTAAAGCACATATGAGAGTGTCCAGTATTAATCATAATGACAGCAGTAATGTAATTCTTGTTAAGATTACCGGTCCATTTGTGTGATCCCCTTCTAAGAGCCTTGAGAAGGAAAACGACATGTCTATGAACCTGCTGTCTCCACAGGGCATTTCTTTGAGTTTCTTCTGTTGGTGGTGGTAGGAGAGCTAAGTCCTCTCCAAACTTTTCAAGACACACCTATTTTCTTTTCACTTTCAAAGTGAAAGTCATCTGCTATCTTCATAATGCCCTCCTTATAACAGTCTTAACTCTGACGCTGCTTTAACCAAGATCCTAAAAATTCCAACTGTGTCAGTCTATGAGGAATCACCTAAGAATCGGCCCCAGAGCATTCTGATGAACTGCAATGCCTGGTTTGTCCTCGATCTGAGAAACAGGCCTCTTAGTGATTCCCAGCCTGGAGCAATGCTTGTAGGCTCCTTTCCTTGGAGGACGATTATGTTCAGAACTTTCATTTTCAATCATGTTTTAGGATGTCTTAACATCCACAAAAAAGATCACCTATCAAAAGCCACACATAATTAAAAGCAGAACTGCAGATCAATTAGGAGACCTAGACTCATAGTTAACCATCCTCCACGCGATCTTGAACCCTTTAGAAATTTGCATGCTCCTCCTGAAAATTAAGGGGCTGAAGCGATTCTTTAACGTGGATTGGCTGGTGCATCTTGATTTATCAACATGTAAATATAAAAATGTTTTTCAGTACTGTTCACCAGGATAAATGCTTAATGTTCCCAGGCAGGCAGACGGTAAGTACAATACTGTCCTCCCTTCTTACTCCTCCCCTGCCCACATCTCCATGTCTAAATTTTCAAGATAGCATCACTCATTAATATCCAGCCATATGATGCTCTTTCATTTGCTCCCTCCTAAGTAACAATGACCATAAATATGTACAATTGGAAAGAACTCAGACGATCAACAAATTCAATCCTTTCATTTTAAGGGCTGACTATGAATTACTCATCATCATACATAATTCACTTACTGTGAGACAAACTGGGCAGATTTTTTTACGCTAATTTTTCAATGTGACCAAGAAAGGTTAAGTGACTTCTACAAGTATCCCTGAAAATAATGAGATTTCATGCTCACTTACCATTCATTACCTATGATAGACCCTATATAATATATATTGAAATCTCTTAAGTTATATTAAAATACAGGCTCCTGGAAAGTAAAGTATGTTTATTCACTAAAGTATCCCAAGTGCTCAGAAAACGGCACAGAGCAGGCCTTCACCAAATACTTGCTGAATGAATGCATGTTCTTAAAACGTCACTGTCAATTTATATTCTACCTGTAAGTACCACGCTGGGCTCCACATTTATACGGAGAGTACTTATCCGTAATCTCTCCTAATCAGTTACTAACAGTCACGGCTGCAAGACATACACATCTAGCATTGTGCTAGAAGTTTTACATTTTTCTCCAAAACTGCAGCTCACAAATACTTTTAAAAAATAAGGAAAACAGAAAATTACAAATTGGATACTAGAGTTAGTGCTGTGTTTGATGTTCTGGTCATTTTTTTAATCTCATTCTCATAAGAACAAGGACATATATCATTTACTATACAATATTAACAAACAAAACAAGAAGCCTGGGTAGCTAAAACTAAGGATTTAGGAATCTGCAAAAGCAAATCGGGTAACAGCTGAAATGTGTCTTTGCTCACTTTTTGTTAATATCTGAAGATCTTCAACAGATGGTGGTCCATTTTTTTTCTCATAAGGAATGACTGTGGTCAAATACTGCCAAGTGAAAAAAGAAAAAAAAAAAGCATCATTTAAATCTGAATCAACTCACCTGAAAAAAGTTGACACAGAGACTAGAAGGTCTACTTTACAACAGGAAACGTGAGCTACATTGGTAACGAAAACACAGGCATGGACCTTACTCAGCTGGAACACAGTGTTTTGCCCACCTATTGCTTCCTGCAAACTTTGTGTCCGCATAGGGAACACTGTTTTGCATGTCAGTTATGGAAATTTTCATACAATTAGGTCTGAGGAGGATTTGCTCGAGGCAACCTTTATTAATGTCCTAACATTCTCTTTGTATGCTTTTCAATACTGCAAAAACTGTAATTAAACTAAAAACAATTTTAATTGTTCTGCACATACACAAAAAAATAATTTCCAGCAACCAAATAATTTTCTTTCAAAACCATTCTTATGCTGACCAAACAAAATAATCAACATGGATAACGTGACAACTTTTAAAAAATACATAACACATTCTTCTAGAAGCTAACAAAGACACACTTAGCCAAATAATTTCAGAAACACAAGGAGTGTTATTATTTTAAATTATTGTGTAAGTAGTTACAAATGTTTTTAGAAATTAAAGGAAATGAGAAAAGGAAAAAGAAAAAATAGCCTAAAGGGGAAATGAATAGTAAAAATTAATGATTTAAATCGAGGCAAACAGCCCAGTTCACTATCTGTAGAGATTCCCAAGTATCAGAGTTGTCCTACAACTGTACCACATGAAAGCATAATCCAAAACTTATTGCCCAGATTCTCCTGTTCTCACCACCTCATCACAAAACACAGCCGGGTGCCGGGTGCACAGGCTGCTGGGGGAGCCAGTGGTTTCCACTTGGAGTCTCCCAGCCCTGTGCAGGGCCCTGAGCTCTGTCCTAACCCACACTAAGCTCACCCAGGTGTAACTGAAAAACAAGAGAATGGGAACTGCTCATCAGTAACTGAAAGCCTGGGTCCAGACAGTAGGAAAACTGAGTTGTCCAACCTGTAAGGACCTTAAGTGTTGCACTATCTTTCTGGAATAGACTTCTCCAAGGTGAGGCCTAAGGGTGTAGCCAGCTAGGTTTTTTTGTAAAGAACAAACCCAGAAACGCGCCATCCAGGGCCTCTGCCCACAACATGGCAGGCACCCTGGAGAAGCACCAGGAATTGCCTCCTTCCCACAAGGGCTGGTGGCAGTGCTCGGGCATTCCCTGCCCACTGCCCTGCACTGGATCAGTTTGTAAGTTATTTTTCCGTCTTGTGGGTTGAGATGTGAGTAACCCCAGATTAAAAATAAAAATGCATACATCCCTTCCTAGGTCGCCTTGATAAGCTGCAAACATCAGTGTTACTCTGCCCTGTAACATCAACTACTTCCTTTGAGGGACCAACAGAACATTCCGCAGAAATTCCAGGAATCTGCTTTAACTATCCAAGAGCCACAGTCTGTATCCCTTCTTAATCTTCACTCATTTCAGAGTTTTGAGGTTAAAATTTCAAATAGTGATAGGTAATTTTCAGCATACTCATGAGTATAGCTGTCGCCCATGTTCATGACAGCACTTTAATCACTGCACAAAAATGTTTAAAAAAAGCAATTTAATACACATTTGACTATACAGTCACACTACATAGATTTGTGTAAATGATGTCTCATGTACACTTGGTACACCACTGACTTGGCTGATTACATAATGTGCTTTAAAAACACACAAATTAAGCTGGGCATGGTGGCACACACCTGTAACCCTAGCAGGAGAGGCTGAGGCAGGAGGATCCACAGTTCAAACCCAGCCTGCAAAACTTGTGATTTAGGGACACTCTGTCTCCAAAAATTAAAAAAAAAAAAAAAAAAAACGTTAAGAACGTAGCTCAGAGTGAAAGCCCAATTTTCAATTCCTAGTACCAAAAAAAAACCTAAAGGAGGTTAAAATATACTCTTTCCATATTTTTTACCTAAACCTCTAGTGTCAAAGATACCACCAATATCTAGCTTTCTTCCTTCCAAAGTAAAATCCTGTTTCCTAGATTTTTAGAATCAGAGTAGCATATTCTAATTAATGTCAGAAAGCGATTCTTCTACACATGCAATTCACCTTGTCAATGTGTTAGCAGCATCTACTTGTTTACAGCAGGAGTGAGAAATGGAGCTCTGTAACATATCTTAAGGATGTATTTAGTCTACTGCCCAATTTGGAAAATGCTTTTTCCCCAAGGGAAAATTCTGTTCATCATTATGGCTACAGATAATAAACTTTCATTTCCCTCTTTTAAGCAGTGGTCTTAGTAAATTAGTAAAACTTGCCAGCTTTACTTACACAGAAAATGCAAAAGCAGAGAATGAGGAAAATAAAGATTAACTGAGCACCTGTTTCTCTCCACCTGCATTTCCAAAGGTGTGGCGGAGGCCATTCTGAATGACATTTGAGATCCCTTCCATGCTGAAGCGCTAAAGGCAGCAATAGACGGCCCAGCAGAAAAGGACAGAGAAAGAAATTCAGAGACTGTTAGTAAGAATGTACCATGATGACTTATGTGTCCAAGAGACAAGCAGTTAGAAAAACGCTACTCCTCGTTCAGGTGAAGCAGACACAATCATGCTGTTTCTAAAATGGCTTTGCTTCTATTCCTCTGCAAATCAAATGCCTAAGTCAGTGCTTTTATTCTACACTTATGAAGATTTTTCCTGATGTAATTGATAATAAATTTGTTCCATTGGAGATGCTGTAATTTGTAGACATTGCTATTTTAGCTAAAATTCCCCATGTAATTCTGAAGATACCTTTCGATAGTTTACCCATGTTTCATCAAATGTCTGAAAATGTACGCACATTTTCAGCCTCAGCCTGGGTATATCCTTGATCAACAGGAACCTCACATCTGCAAAGGCAAACGCTGTCACTCTGGAGACCTGAGCATTGTGCTTCACAGTCTCCAGGCACCTGCCGCTGCCTCCGCGCAGAAAATGGGAACAGGAAGCCAGCATGTGCACCCTGAGTGGTCGAGTGGCTCCCATTTACTAGGTGAGCCCCCAAAACCTCTGTGGACTTTCCACTCCCTTTCCAGGAAACAACTCAAACTTCTTTCTCCCAGCAACCTCCAAGACTTCCTAGAATTCATCGTACTAAAAAAAAATGAGTGTTTTTTCCTAAACCACTTATCTTGATTTGTAACCAGTCTACAATGTCATCGGGCACCTTGAAAAAGAGTCCAGTGGCGCCTCTCTGGCAGCTGAGTCCAAGGCGGCAGAGGGATTCTTACAGCATGACTAACTGATGAGGGGAAAGGCAGCGTGACAAGAAATTACAGCCTGGTTCTCAGGGCACTTTCTTCCTGTGGAACTGTACAGGGGAAAGGTGAACCAATACGTACATTCAAGGGGGCACCAGAAAGAACATCTTAGCGGGCCTAAAGAAAAGGAAAGAAACCATGACAGTGGTTTCCACCCCCGAGAAACACACAGCTTACTCCAGCGGTTCTCAAAATATGATCCAGGTACATCTCGAGAGGTTCCTGCAATCTTCTCAGCCATCCACGTACTCAAAATTATTTTCTTTTTTTTTTTTTATCGGTACTGGGGATCGAACTCACGACTGCCTGCTGCAAAGCAGGTTCTTATGCCGCTGAGCTAAATCCCCAGCCCCTTCAAAATTATTTTCTTAATGTTATCAAGATTTAATGTACCTTTTTCATTCTCAACCTCTCATGACCTACAGTGAAATATTTCAAGTAACAGGCTGAATGTGGAAGAAGCCGTGAAAATTTAGTTGCCTTCAATCAAGCCAGACACTAGAAAGACTCCCAAAACTGCATAGCGATGACATTCTTCTCCCTAGGTTTTAAAAAATATAGTCATTTTCATAAAAGGATACTATTTAAATAAGAACTAGTAAGTTCATTATTACTTTTAGTAAACTCATATTTTAAATTTTTCTAGTTTTCATTTTAAAAACAGTAAATATTGCGCAATAAGTCCTGACAATAAAAAGTTCAGAAATGCCATAAGGTCTGCCCCTGGATGGAGCTTACCGCACCCTTGTGTGCATCAAATTGGAGGCGTGCACCAGACCGTGGGGGACCCTGGACCTCCAGGCCTCTCCTCTGATATCACCATGTCATTTACACCATCCTTCCCAGATCCAGACCTACACTCCAGTTTTGTTTTGGCAAGACTCGCCTGTCTGGTCAAGGTATTTTGACTGGCTACTGTTCACTGAGAGCAAAACCATTTACCTCTGCTGAATGATGCTACTTTTACAAGGAAAAACTACAGGTAACAATTTTCATAGATTTTTACATGACGTCATATACTTTGTTCTCTTTTTTAAAACAAATCATGCAAAGAGATGACATCTTAGGCTCCAGAGTCTGCAATAAAAATTATGGGAAACAATTTTTCAATAAACAAGTTGCTTTACTGTTTTTTAAAGTCTGTCAAATGTTCCTTTGAAAAGCAACAGAGAGGCGGGAGGCCCCAGCACCATGCTCTGGGGGCGCATCCCGGTAGCCACGTGAGTCCCAGGGGCTCTGAGCTCCGCCCAGCCCAGCATCCCAGGGCAGTCCATCCATCCGGAGGGTGCCTGGCCAGCCGCACAGGTTCCAGAGGAAAACAATAAAATGAAACAGCAAGATACAGTCTCAGTGCCCCACCCATCAAGAACAAACCCAGGAGACCTAGAAAGGGAGGGCACTGGAAATCGCACAACCGAACTTTCTGAAATGATAGCAACTGAAGTAAAGAAATAACTCCATGAGGCTACAGAGGAAATCAAATCAGAAATAATCTCTCAGGTAAAAAAAGAAATGACAAACACTATGAAAGAAATCTTGAGTGTATCTAGGGGCTAGGGATTTAGCTCAGCGGCATAAGCACCTGCCTTGCAAGCATCCCTGGTATCAATAAAAAAAAGAAAAAGAAATCTTGAGTGTATCTAAAGATACAGACAAAAAAATCACAAGCAAGGTAAGACGTTTTAGAATTTACACATTATCAAATGAAAGGTACACTTTATATTTGGGCAACGCACTCCAAAAATGGTATCCTTTGTAGTTCAGGCTGGCCTTGAACTCAATCTGTAGCCCAGCCTGAACTACAAAGTGAGCCACTGTCTCCAAAAAAAAAAAAAAAAAAAAAAAGTGTGATTTAGGTTTTCCTGATTAAATGAGCAATTGTGGACAATGCTAAGGATTTCAATTATTAGAGAGCTGGTGACTTGTGAGAGATAACTTTGACACAATCAGAACTCTAGGCTTAGTAGAAAGAGGGGAAAACACTGGAACTGGAATCCAGGGCAACTTGGAAAAATACACCACCAGCAACTGACAGTAGTGAAGAACCTTAAAAAGGCCTCTTCGCAGAACCTCTGCCGGGGCTCTGGATGGCGCTGTGTCCGAGGCTCCCGCCGGCAAGGCTCCTCCGGCTCCGGGCCTTTCATCTGCCAAGGGATGAACCTGGGAAGCAGGCAGTAGCCAGCAGGGCTCTGGTGCCTCCTGCTCCACCAGGACAGCTACAGAACGGGAGGTCAGAGGGTGCATGGGAAAACCGTGAGACAACAAAGAAAACACGTTCCCTGATCTACATTCTCCAACTCTCCCTCTCAATCGGGCTTTCCCCAATGGCAACTTTCAATTCCCAAACCCTCAACCTATTTCCCTTCTCAGCTTCTCCTGAATCAGCTCATACCGACCTCCTTTTCTGAGGCTGAAGTCCGCCAACACGTTTCCAGCCTCTCTGAACCTCCTCCTCTCAACTTTCTCCCTAGATCCTCAATACCAGCCCCTCTGCCCGCACTCGGGCCTCCGCCCACTGCTCCTGCTGAGAAGTGCCTCTTTCACTACTCATGTCTTGGTGGCAAAGCGTCCCCAGAGTTCTGTCCCTATTTTTCTCTCATGTACACTTTCCGGACATTACCACTCAACTTTTTCAACTTCCTCCATCAGTCTGGAGATTCACTTTCCTAAGAACAGCAAAGTGTCGAAGTACAGGACTGGCCCACAGTAAGAGCCTAGGAAGCTCTTACTGTGTTGTGATGTCCTTCCTGAGCTTCACGTTTGCACGTTCGGCAGAGGGCTGGACATCTGCACCTACTGTATGTATAACGGCCCCCTGGACATAGCCATATTATCATGCATAGACCTAAAACTCATCATAGCCAATCCTGAGTGCATCCTTCCCTCCCACACCAAACAAGGAACTAAAAGACCAACCTGCTCCTTCTACTGCACTGTGTACTTCATTCATTTACTCATCCACATACTCTCTCAGGTGACAGGGATTTAGAGTGGACACATCGGTCGGACCCTTCCCACCCTACTAAATCACCATCCCAATGCACTGGTGGCACAAAAAGGGAAACAGGAAAATGAACTAGGTACCCACAGAGACCACAAATCCCACTGATGAAACAATTCAAACTAGATGGAAACTAGAAAACTAGATGCAGGGGAGGCAGACAAAAGCTCTCTAGAAAGGTGACACTGTGCTGGGACATAAATTACATATGGATCCCAGATGAGTTGCAAAGGACAGTGATAAAGGCGATCATCTAAGACAGCAAAACCAAAAGCAGCCCAAATGCTCAACAACAGGGTTCACCCCGCTGCCGCTGCCACTGTTTGGAAGCCTTGCTATTCTTATCCAGGAGAATGTGACAGGGTAGCTACATAGTGTGTCCCTATCACATCCTTGCCAATAAGCAGCCTCTATTGCACTGACCCTTTCCTCTTCCTCATTTTGTGCAGTGAGTGTGTTGGACCTAAGAGTCGCCTCCAGAGCTGATGGGAAGGACAGGATCCCTTAAAGACACTGGGCTCCAGGCTAGGAACAGCTACTGCTGACCAACCACACTTGCCTCCCTTCCTTTGGGGAGATGATCACATGCTCTACCTGAGCTCGCCATCTGTGCTCGCCAAGTCAGTCACCAACAACCCAGCCACAGCTAACTTCCCTCCCTTGTCTTCCCACTGTCTCCCTCAGCTGCCAGCTCTGGCTGAGTGAACCACCGGCAGTCTCCCGGATGTCCATGATCACGCTCTGCTCTCTCTGCCCATCCCCTCCTTCATCTGCCTGTCCTCAGATTCACCAGGAAACCAAATGCGGAGCAGCAGTGACATGGGCAAGCCTCCGCCACACAACAGTGTCAGACAGAGAACATGGCAGCTGCCTGGAATACAGCACTATTTGCACCACGCGCTGGGCTTCCCGATGCGACACTGCTGACATCTGGGGCTTGCTAAATCTTCGTCTGGGGCAGATCTGTGAGCAGGGGAGTGCTGGCCAGCATCTCAGGCCTCAGCTCACCAGGTGTCGGCAGTGCTTGCCCCGATCCCCACCCCTGCCTTTCTCCATCCCACCCAGTTACGACAATGACAGATGTTTCCAGACACTGTCCCTATGGAGAACCAGCCGGCCTGGGGGAGAACACTGCACTGAAATACATGAGATGGTCT